GAGAGATCCCTGCAATGGTTATCCGGGTCCAATCAAAGCCAAACCTTCCACCACAAACTCCGGAATGGGAAACAATCTTAGATTTATTATTCTTGTCATGATTGTTCATGGGGATCACTGGGTTATAAAATATGTCCTAAGTGGCAGAAATTATACCGTGGTACCAAGCATTAGTTCCTGACCTTTTAAAACACAAATCTATTTCACAGTAATAATTTCGTGAACTTTCTTAGGAACTGAAAAAATCATTGTGCGTTATGAAGTAATTAGAAATGAAAGAAGTTATTTTAGGTTTTAAAAAAATCAACTTGAGAGGTATATTATTAAAGATTATATTGAAGTACATTTTAAATATGTTCTGTAATGATACTTATAATATGTATAAAGACCATTTGTAACTTTGCCCTACTTAACAAATGACATATGCTATTTAATTTACTCTAAGTAAATTATATAAAAAATCATGACTTGACAAATGCGTATAAAAATAAGATTATATGTTGTTTGCTTTACAGACCAGATGTATGTTAAAATGTAGATTGAGATTTAACTATGTGTTACAGCACTAACAATAATGGCATTCAAGATCTGATGGTTAGAATTCTTGCATTTTATGTGCTTAAAAAATTATATCATTAGCTGGTCACAGTGGCTCATGACTATAATCCCAGCACTTTGGGAAGCCAAGGCTGGAGGATTGCTTGAAGCCAGGAGTTTGACACTAGCCTGGGCCACATAGTGAGACCCCATTTCTACAAAAAATAAAAAAAATTCACCAGGTGTGATGGTCCGTAGTCCCAGCTACTCAGGTAGGAGGATCTCTTGAGACCAGGAGTTCAAGGTTGCAGTGAGCTATGGTGACAGAGCAAGACCCTGTCAAAAAACAAAACATTAAATCATCACTTTAATTTGATTATTTTGTGTGTTTTGTTTCTCCAAGAAGACATAAAGTGAGAGGGCTATGGGCTGACTATATGGCAAATACAAACCCATTTGCATAAAGGTTAAGAGAGCAGGATTTATTTTTTTTATTTTGTTTCTTTCTTTTTATTGCCCACCTAGTCTGCACAAGGAGAGCAGGATTTGGAATCACACTCTGCCACTTACCAGCTGTGTGATCTTGAGAAGTTACTTAAACTCTGTACTTTGTGTTCCTTGTCTAAAATAAGGGACATTAATATAATAATGGTACCCACCTCATGGTGCTTTCGTGAAGATCACAGAAGTTCACTTATGTAGGGGGCTTAGAACAGCTTCAGCATGTGGGAAAGGCTTGGTAAATGCTAGCCATGGTTTTACTTCACCTGGATGATCCACTCAACGTGCCCAAAGCTGAATGTGTCAGTTACTGGAGTTTCTTTCTTTCTTTCTTTCTTTCTTTCTTTCTTTCTTTCTTTCTTTCTTTCTTTCTTTCTTTCTTTCTTTCTTTCTTTCTTTCTTTCTTTCTTTCCTTTCTTTCCTTTCTTTCCTTTCTTTCCTTTCTTCCCTTCTTTCTTTCTCTCTCTCTCTCTCTTTCTATAATTTTAATATTCTTAATTTAAATTATTTTTGCTTTCTATTTCTCTTTTTTCCCCACTTCATCCCATTTTTTAAGTGTAAACACACTTTCTAAATAAGCTGGTGTTACCATCAAGCACTTTCTCACCCTAGAAGCCCATAATTCCATGTTACCCCTCATCTAATCACCCACCAAGCCCTGTCTGGTTCAGCTCTGATTTCTCCAAGCCATTTACTCTTCTACCTCTCTAGGACCATTGCCACTCAATTGATCTTTCTGTGTCATTTCTTGACCCCCAAAATTATTTTTTGAGGCAGCATAGCTCCTAGCTACTACCTAAGTCTGAGAAAAGTCCTCTCCTGTCAGTAGTTCTCCATTACTTAGGAGACACATCCAAGTTTCGTAGTGTAGAATGAATACCAGGTCCTCTATTTCTGCCTATCTTTCATTCATTCAACAAGCATTTACTGAGCACCTACTATGTAGTCTTGCCACCTTGCCTAGTGATTTTACTGAACACCATGCTGCTTATAGTTTCTTGAACTCATATGCTATTTCTTGTCTCTCTGTGTTGGCTCACAAGTTGTCCTCTACTTGGAATGCCTTTTCCCAAAGCCACTTACTGTCTGAGCCAGGACTCGATTCATATTGCCTGGCTCTTTGTCCAGTGCTCTCTGTCTACCTGAACTGTCACCACAGTTCAGCACCAAGCACCTGTCCTGCATCAGCCATGAGGTATGTAGTAGCCTCTCAATAAATGCTCAACAAATAATCAATGATGCTATCTGTGATAACAACCAAACTAACTTTTAGGAGAGTTTTACTAGTTCTTATGGAAGTTACCATGTATGATATTCTCACTTCTCTCCCCCCTCATGAGTTTCAGCTTTTTTAACCCTGGAAAGGCCTAGGAGCTTACGTGACCTTTATGTGACATGCAGGAGGAGAGGTGCTATGGTCTCATCTTGGTCCAATGCACAGGTCTGGAGAAAGCGATCCTAAGTTGCCTGTATACGTCCTCTATCTTTCGACCCACATTTGACTGAGCCTGGAGAAGCATAAAAATAAGCTTCTGTTGGTTACTCTGTCTACTCCCTCCAGGGCTTGCCACGCCCCTGCTAGCGTACGCAGCCATTCATACCTTTATGGATTCAATCAGCAAACCTTCAGTCAATGTCCATTTTTTTTCGGGTGGCAGGTCTGGGCATCAGGCCAGATCAGTGTCCATTTTGAATCAGGCCTTCTCCAGAGCCACCTCTTGTGACCCTGCAGGCCCCTGGTTTATAATCTTTGTCTTCCTCTCCCCTAAGTTCCACCCATAGTTGATGTTTTTCCTCCTGGATCTCAGACTTTGTCTAACACTGGGGTCTGGCCCCCTCTCGCTGTCTTAGTCTCTGTCTTCCTGCCCTTCCTTTGTGCAGATGGATTTGCAGATCTAAAGAGGCTTCTTAATTTCTTCTGCTCCTGCTCCCTTCATAGGTGAATGTAGGAGCTTTCCAGAACGTCTCTCTGGGGAGCTCGGGCACAGACACTGTGTGTGTTTGGGGTAATGGTGCTAAGGGTATCTGGAGTAAAACACGGAGGCTTCACTTAGACGTTAATGTGACCAAATCTGCAGGTAGAACATGCTGCAATCGCAGAGAGAAGTAGGAGAGAAAACCTAACAGAAAATGCATTCTATAAGCATTTGAAAAACCTCCTAAAGATTAGTTTGGATATCAGACTAGAAACAAAAAAACAAAACAAGCAGTTCTGGCTCATAAGAAGAGTATCTCATGTGGGCCTCCCGGCTGCTCTGCAAAGATTATGCTTTGGAAATACAGCACCTGGTGTAAGAGACGCTGGACTTAAATTTGAGAACCTTCACTGTCTTTTTCTAGGAACAATTACTCTGTTGTCTCTTGCCTCATCTCCAAAAGCCACCTGAGACAGTGACTGAGAGAAGTAGAAAGTACAAGAGGATTCATTATTTTAATTCTTTTGTTTCTGAAAAACGATCATTTTATAGCTGGATTCTCCCTAGTTCATAGAGAAAAATAGGACTCTTAGGAAAAGCTTTGAGCTGTTCTGCTTTTCCCCAAAAACTGCCCTTGCTGGAGGGACAGATGACAGTCCTGGAGTCCAGACTGGAGCTGAGAGCTGCAGCTTCCTTCCCTTCTCCACCCACTCCTTCCACTCCTGCCCTCTCCCTTCCCCATCTTTATTCCTTTGGTTGCGGGGGGGTGGGGGGGGCAGGCTTTGTTCCTGGACGTCTTGACACCACTCAAATAGGAGGAGGTAATAATGACTTGAGCATAAGCCTTTATTGGGGCTTAGAAAATAATACCTGAAAGTGAAGGCCTCAGAATCAAGTCCTCTCTGACCTTTTCCTGCCTTCCTGACTCTGGCCCCTCATTCTCCTGGGAAGGCTAGGCCCAGAAACCAGAACCCCTCTCCCCCAAAGCCAGTCATAAAACCTAAAACTATTCCTCAAATCTTCCCCGCCTTTCTCTGTAAGAGCTGGCCATAAAGAGATCATCTGATTGTAGGTTTTGAGACTACCTTCATCAGAAGGGGTCCTGCCCCATACCCTGAAGGAAAAAATGCCACACAGAACAGACAGGCCAAGAAGAATCCGAAAAGATAGGCCTGGCTTGGTTTCCCCACTCAGTCTATTCCCATTAGCCCATATATGCCTTTTTTTGCCCAACTGCAGTTCTACATGACTGTTCCTGCTTTGTTGTATTAAATGTGGGCAGTCTTCCCTGTATCTTTGGGTCTTCATTCTGAAATCTCTCTTGTCACATAAAACTTTGATGAAATAAATTTATGTTTTCCTCTTGTTAACTTGCCTTTTTATAGGGGCGTTAGCTGTGACACTTATGATGGGGAGGAAAGGGATCACCCCTATACCCTCTTCCCAGGTGGCCCAGGGTCACCAGAGCCCAGCCTGAACCCCCTGTTGCCTCCCTGGACTCCAGACTGCCCTTCCTGGCATCTTGAGGCCTCAGCACTTCTCTGCTTGGGCCGGCTCAGTCTTTCTCAAGCTTCAGTCACTTCCAGATCCTCTCCACAATTTTGATGTATCCAAGTAATGCCCGTACTATCCATTCCTTTGTAATTTTCTTTACTTTGATTCACTTTTAAAAACGTTAAGAAGATTTAAGAAGGCTTTAAAAGATAATAAATACTTAAACTTATTTTAAAAGGAGATTCAATTAATGTAGGGGCCAAGGGAAACTTTCCCTTTGCCTTCTGAAGTTTTGCTGAAAATAATCAACTACCAAGGACAGATTAATTGGAGAAAAGGCATATACATTTTTTTCTTTTCTTTTTTTCTTAGACAGAGTTCCCCTCTATTGCCCCAGGCTGGAGTGCAGTGGTGACATGGCTCACAGCAACCTCAAACTCCTGGGCTCAAGGGCTGCTCCTGCCTCAGCCTCCCAAGTAGCTGGGACTACAGGCATGTGCCACCACGCCCGGCTAATATTTCTATTTTTAGTAGAGACAGGGTCTCGGTCTTGCTTAGGCTGGTCTCTTGAGCTCAAACAATCCTCCTGCCTTGGCCTCCCAGAGTGCCAGGATTATAGGTATGAGCCACCACTGCCAGCTTACAAATGTTATTAACACAGACTTGGGGAGAGTCACAGAGTGATTACCCACCCCCTCAGTGGGGTTTAGAAGCTTATATACCATCCTGGTAAAACAGGTTATGGGAGTGGGGAAAAGAAGAATTCTGTTGAGGGGTAATGCAGCATTACTCGGGAGATTAACTTGTAAAAAGTTCTCCTTGGCAGTGAAAGGGACTGTTCAGGTGTGGTTACATTCTTGGTCTTCCAGGGAGGGGAAGAAAAAACAATTGTTCTCCTTGGTAGGTCTGGATCATAGGCAGATAAAGGAACTTCAACTTCATCCTGTGCTTTGGCAGGGCCAGAGTGGGAGAAAAGGTCAGAGGGACCTTGAGGCTTCTTCAGTTTAGCATGTCAATGTGCTATAATTGGGGTATTGGTTTCTGAACCCCAACATTAATCACCATAAATGGAAAACAACTATCAAATGGAAGTTAACCTTAACCATGAATACAGTGAAAACAAAATAATAAATGTCCAGTTGTGTGCCATTTGGAATTGTCTCTCAAACCACCTGGGTTTAATGCTGCGTTTTGCAAAATCCTCCACGAGGATTTCTTCCCTTGTCACTGAGGGTGGATCTGAGGCAGGATCTCCTCACTGCTGCGAGGACCCTGGGCTCCATATTCACTATGTGAGTGGCCTTGACCAACTAACAGGTTCTTGGGAGATTTCTAAGCTGTAGGAACAGTGACCATGTCTGAGAATTTTCACAAGGATCAAATGGGACAAGCTCTGTAAAGAGCCCAGCGTAAGCCTAACAATAGGAAACACTCTAGAAATACTAATTCTTCACCTAGGGCTCCCACTGGGGCAAGGAATAAAATTGGGATGATGAGTCCTCTTGCCTTTGTTTTTGGCAATCTGCTAAACAGGGTGATTTGATCTTCAAATTCCCCATTTTTTCCAATGAGAAAAGCGTATAGTTACTAATGCAAAGTTAGGCTTCAAACCCATGTATGTATAATTCCAGAATTCATATGCTTACTAATTAAGCTACTTTTTCATTTTTTGAGACAGAGTCTTGCTCTGTTGCCCTGGGTAGAGCACAGTGGCATCGTCATAGCTCACTGCATCCTTAAACTCCTGCACTCAAGCCATCCTCCTGCCTCAACCTCTTCAGGAGCTGGGACTACAGGTGTGTGCCACTGCATCTGGCTAATTTTTTCCAATTTTTGTAGAGATCTCAGGGTCTCTCTCTTTCTCAGGCTGGTCTTGAACTCCTGAGCTCAAGCTATCCTCTTGCCTCAGCCTCCCAGAGTGCTAGGATTACAGGTGTGAGCCACCATACCCAGCCAAATGAAGCTACATTGATTTTTATAAATATCAACCTCATTGAGATTTATTTTACATACAATAAAACTTAACCATTTAAACATACATTTTGGCTGGGCGAGGTGGCTCACACCTATAATCCTAGCACTCTGGGAGACCGAGGTTGGCGGATTGCTCAAGGTCAGGAGTTTGAAACAGCCTGAGCAAGAGCAAGACCCCATCTCACTATAAATAGAAAGAAATTAATTGGCAACTAATATATATAGAAAAATTAGCCGGGCATGGTGGCACATGCCTGTAGTCCAGCTACTCAGGAGGCTGAGCAGGAGATTGCTTGAGCCCAGGAGTTTGAGGTTGCTGTGAGCTAGGCTGATGTCACTGCACTCACTCTAGCCTGGGCAGCAAAGCAAGACTCTGCCTCAAAAAAAAACACAAAACACATACATTTTGATGAATTCTTACAAATGTATATGTCCATGTATCTACCAATACAAATTAGATCTCACTTCCCTTGTGCTTCTCCCTGGTCATTCCTCTTGGGTGTGCCCCAGGTTTCTGTCCCATTATGCATAGTCTAATCATTTTTATTGCCAAGTAGTATTCCATTGAGAAAAGAAAAATAGCTCAGAGCAGTTCCCAAATGTGTTGCAGTTCCCAAATTTGGCTCAAATAAACTCTTTACTTATATTAATTTTGCCTCAGTTTTTTTTTAGGTCAACACCGTGGTATGGACAACTTTTCTTGCCCTTTGCCTATTAATGGCATTTATTTTTGCAGCATCTCCCTCCTATCCATTTATTTTCAGCTCTGCTAACAGAAGCAGCATCTCTCACCTGGACCACTGTGGATTGCCTCTTGAATTGGTCTACAAGCTTCCTCTTTAGCCCCTTTCAACTTATTCTCCAGTATGCTGTCAGAGTGATCCTTAGGAATACAAATCTGCTTAAAGTTCATCAACCCACCCTAAAACTCTTCACCCTGGGACAAAGATCAAAATCTGCATGTTGACTGGCCAGGCCCTGCATGGCCCAGCACCTTCCTACCTATGTGACCTGTCTTAAGATTGCTTTGCACGGTGACTTGTTGCCTTCCTGCCTTGCTGCCTTTTTGGTTCCTCTTAGCACATGCTGCTTACTGTTGCAAGCATTCATATGACTTCTGCAAATGCAGCTTCCTTCAAATGAAAGGCTCTCTTCCTCCCCTCCAGCCACTCTCTGCCCCAGCAGTTCACACCTGCTACTATCCTCTTAACACAGCAAAAATACTCAATGATCTTGATCTTTGAAATAAAAAAGAAAGAAAAGAAAAGAAAAGAAAAGAAAAACACAGCAAAAAAATCTCATTTCTTCAGGGAAGACTTTTTAAACCCCCCTGGTTGGGTCAGCTCATTTGTTTTCTCAAAGGATTGCATTTCTTTTCTTCTTTAGAGTTCTTTGCTCAGTTTGTAATTTTACCTTCTTTGGTGAGATTGCAGTCAGTGATTAGCATTCATCTCACAGACTTTAACGATGCAGGCTGGAAGGGTCCCTGTCTTTTTACATCCTGTTGACTCACAGCACAGTGCTCAGCGCTTGGCACCTAATAGACACCCAGTAAACAGAGGTTGAATGAGTGGACGAACTCACCCATGAGCACGTCTGAAGTGCCAAAGGTGGGTAAAACTGTCCTAGGCTTCTGGAAGGGGGGGCATTAGGAAAGGGGAGTATATTTCTAGAGGAGTTGTTTTTTTCCAGACTAGGTGACGATCCTAGTGTTGGAATTTAGGAGAAACAGGGATGCCTCTCCCTATGAGCTTTGAACTTTGGAAGGGAGATTGCCTTCCAAGAGAGCTAAATTATAAAACAAACATAAAATGAATCAGATTATATAGGCAAATTACTTTAAAGGACAAATGGGTTTTAGGCTCCAAGACTTGACTAACAGGCTTAAAGTTATTTATAGAGACAAAGAAAGAATGTGTCCTTCAGAAAGGTTAATTAGTTTGGGAGGGAGGGTAAACTAGAGTATGTTTAGGAGGGGTTACCCACAGAGCAAAGGACCAGCCCACCAAGCCCCAATTCCAGTCACCCTGGAGATGGCTGGCTCTGCCTTCTGTCTGGTTCTACATTTACCAAGTAACCTCGCTATGATCTGGTTGCCCACGCAGACTGACAGGGAGCGAACACAGCCATCAACTGATCCAGTCTCAGGCCTGCTTGGTGTGCTGTATTTCCTTGTAAATTTATCATTCTGCATTCTGGTTTCATACATGGGTCTTTTTTATTTTTATTATTTATTGATTGATTATCATTTTTTTTTTGAGATAGAGTCTCACTCCATTGCCGTGAGTGGAGGGCTGTGGCATCAGCCTAGCTCACAGCAACCTCAAACTCCTGGGCTCAAGTGATCCTCCTGCCTCAGCCTCCCGCGTAGCTGGGACTATAGGCGTGCACCACCATGCCCGGCTAATGTTTATATTTTTAGTAGAGACGAGGTCTTGCTGTTGCTCAAGCTGATCTTGAACTCCTGAGCTCAAGCAATCTTCCTGCCTTGGCCTCCCAGAGTGCTAGGATTACAGGTGTGAGCCACTGTGTCCAGCCCATACATGGGTCTTGATGATGAGCTTTGTTAAGGGGACTTTGTCCCTAAGAGATGGCTGTGTTCTCAATGTCAAGCTTCCAAGGCTGTCCAGCCCATAAGCCAGAACCCAGATAGTGGAGAATTCACCCTGAAAGGGTCCTATTGTGGGGACAAGTTTGGGTTTCCCATTTTATAGATCATTAAACTGACTGTTATTGGAAAGATGTTTTAACACAACATTTATTGAATAATGTAGGTCTCTATTCCATCTGTGGAGTTTGTTGATGTGCTCTGGATTTATGATGAGGAATGCAAGAGGAAGGAATGCAAGATAATAATTGTCAATTATTTAAATGTTTTATATTAGAAATCTACACTTGGGCCAAGCGTGGTGGCTCACGCCTGTAATACTAACACTCTGGGAGGCCAAGGCAGGAGGATCACTTGAACTCAGGAGTTTGAGACCAGCCTGAGTAAGAGTGAGACTCTGTCTCTACCAAAAAGAAAGAAAAAGAACATCCAGCCAGGCATAGTGGTATGCACTTATAGTCCCAGCTACCTAGGAGGTTGAGGCAGAAGGATCACTTGAGCCCAGGAGCTGGAAGTTGCAGTGAGCTACAATGGTGCCACTGCACTCTACCCAGGATGACGGAGTGAGACTCTGACTCAGCAACAACAAACCCCCCCCCCCAGAACAAGGCAATTGAACACCCCTCCTCACAAACTCCCACCCCTTAAAAACAAAAAGAAAAAAAATAGAAATCTACACTTGGAGCTCTTTATGATCAGTTTAAGCAAAGTACAATTTTGAATTACAAAGGGAGAGTTGTTTTTGCAGTGATTTCTTTAATATAAAATAAAAAATAGGTATCATGTATTAAATATTTATAAAGTACCAGATATTATAGGTTCATTATTTGGATCACTGCATCTTTAGCAAACAGTTTCCTAACTGTGAAATGAGAATAAGAATGGTGAACAATTAAGTACCTACTTTGTGCCAAGCACTGTTCTAAGTGCTTGACCTTAGTATTAACTCATTCATTTTCTGAAGCAACCAAGGAGGTAAATACCATTGCAGGATCATTATACAGAAGAGGAATTTGCCCAGGGATGGTATAGCTAGTAAATGGGAGAGAGAGTTTTTAAACCCAAGCAGCATGGCTCCAGAACCTATACTTTTAAACAATTCACTACCTCATAGAATTAAGTGAGTTAATACACATAAAACGGCCGGGTGCGGTGGCTCACGCCTGTAATTCTAGCTCTCTGGGAGGCCGAGGCGGGCGGATTGCTCAAGGTCAGGGGTTCGAAACCAGCCTGAGCAAGAGCGAGACCCTGTCTCTACTAAAAATAGAAAGAAATTAATTGGCCAACTAAAAATATATAGAAAAAATTAGCCAGGCATAGTGGCTCATGCTACCAGCTACTGTACGGGAGGCTGAGGCAGTAGGATTGCTTGAGCCCAGGAGTTTGAGGTTGCTGTGAGCTAGGCCGACATTACGGCACTCTAGCCCAGGCAACAGAGTGAGATTGTATCTCAAAAAAAAAACAAAAACAAAAACAAAAAAACACATAAAACACTTGGAACAGTCTGCCACACCCCATGTTTCAATAATTGTTGGCTGTTACTATTATCCATTTGTTGTTATTATGTTTCTTAGCTACGGATTGTTAAACCAGGACTGAAAACCCAGATTTCCTATATCCAAATCCCCTAGCCCCTTCCATTATCCTTTGCTGCTGTGTGTGTTTTTCCCTAGGGAGAACCAAAGTCAAAAAACACTTTGGCTTGAATTACCCAGTATGAAATTGCCTGTGGAACAAAAATCACATGTTTCAAAAGTTAACATTTTCTTTTATGATTCTGTCCCACCTCCATTATCCTGCATCTTTCCTCCTGATTTCTGGCATGCTCTTGGAATCCCTTCTCCACTTTTAACCACATGAAAAGCCATCTGTCCACGGGGACTGGGTGTTTTAAATCCTTTGCCCAAATCTTAAGAATATTTACACTTAGTACTTTTATTGCTAATATCTAAGTAAAACGAAAAGTTAAACTGTTAGGGAAGGCAAGATTTATAAGACTATTTGCAGTCCTGGGAGTCGTATTCACTGAAACTCAGAAGGTTGTAAGATCTGGGGAGACACTTTTATTATTTCCTTGCTCCAGAAGCCAAAGAGAAGAACGAGATTCTGTGGCTTCCAGCTGACACCCAAGGTGGTTTGTAGCTACAATGATAAGCCGGCCACAGAAGTAAATTTTCTCCAAGGGAATTATTGTCCTGAGCTCTTGAAAGTACAAACTACTTTCTAGGGAAAATAGGATTAGAGTTTAAAAGCAAATTGGAAACCAACTTCCAATTTTGTTGACAGGATATGTAAGGGCTTTCTTTTTGTTTTGTTTTTTTTTTTTTGTTGAGACAAGCTCGCCTGTTTCCCAGCTTAGAGTATGCCCTGGCGTCAGCTAGCTCACAGCAACCTCAAACTCGCTCAAGCGATCCTCTGCCTCAGACCTCCAATACTGGGACTACAGCATACACCACCGCCGGCTTAATTTTTTCTAGTATATGCCAAGTTAATTTCTTTCTATATTAGATAGAGACGGGTCTTGCTTTGCTCCCAGGCGTTTTGAAACTCTACCCGATCAACGCCCCCCGCCTCCCAGACGGCTAGATTACAGGCGAGCACCTGCCCGCCGATTGTTTAAATTTTGCTTTATTTCTTTTTTATAGGGAACACTGTTTCTGCGATTTGGCTATATGTAAGGCTTTCTAATGATATCAAAATGGTGTTTAGAGCGTAGGATTATGAGATATGGCCAGAAGCCTGTTTTTTCAATAGTGATAATTTTTTTTCTTTTTCTTCATCAGTTAAATCAATTACTCATCTAGAAACATGAGCAGCTATTCAGCTTGTTTCTGTCTTGGTACCTACATGATATCATTCTTTTTCATAGATGTTTCATGGTTTGCCAGGAAAAGGTTTAAGTGAGCTATTTTGACATTAATCTAATGATGCATTTTTGTGAAATATTAACCTCCCTATATAAATGAACGTCACTTGAATTTTTCTGGCATTTTAGGGAGGGTTCTGACAGATAAGAATTAAATAATCTTGGCTTTGGTAAAGACTTTGGTGTTTAGAAATTCACTATTAAAAACCACTAATAAAGGCTGGGCTTGGTGGTTCGCAACTATAATCCTGGCACTCTGGGAGGGTGAAGCCAGAGGATTGCTTGAGGTCCAGAGTTCAAGACCAACCTCAGCAAGAGGGAGATCCTGTTGCTACTAAAAATAGAAAAAAATAGCTGAGCGACTGAAAATAGGAAAAAAAATTAGCTGGGCATGGCAGCCCATGCCTGTAGTCCCAGGTACTCAGGAGGCTGAGGCAGAAGGATTACTTGAACCCAGGAGTTTGAGGTTGCTGTGAGCTAAGCTGATGCCACGGCACTCTAGCCAGGGCAACAGAGTGAGACTATGTCTCAAAAAGAAAAAACAAAACAAAACAAAACAAAACACTAAAAAGAGCAAAAAATTCAATAACAAACCATATCCGCTTTCAAATTTTAATTTGAAAATGTAATCAGTGTGTCTACTTCCCTTCTAAAGATGCTGACAACACTCCAGTGTGCAGGATAACAGAGAATTATGTTTTAACACCTAAACAAAGTGAAAGAAACTCCCCTTTTGCCCTTTGGCTAGAGCTACGAACACTCTGCGGTTACCTTGTTTCCTTGGTTTACTCTTGGGTAGATTATTCCAGTCCCGAGATTCCAAAGCAAACAGGGGCTTGAGAATGAGAGCCAGGTGTGGTGAATCAGGCGATGGTTTAAAACTTTCCATGTGCTCTAGAGCCCTTTCTAAAGGCTTTGTTTATTTATTTTCAAATACCACAAGAACTGCTATCACAGATTCATGACAAAAGAATGGGAAATCTATGAATAGTGATTTGGGTATTTCATGTATATGTGTGTGTGTGTATATATATAAACACAAACACAAGTTTGTGTGTGTGGACTGGGAGAGAAAAGGTGTGGGCTTGGGATCTGGGTTTAGGTCCTGTTGACATCAGTCCTCAGCTATGTTATCTTGGGCAAGTTACTTGACCTTTCTGGACCTAGATTCTCATGTGTTAAATATTCCTACCGCACATGTTTTAAAAGTAGGATTTAAATCAACTAATGAATATAAAAAGCCAGAACAGTGCCAGGCACTCCTATAAATTATTCATTGGAGCAGCAGCATTAGATGTTTTGCATTCCCTTTGTAGAATAACTAGAAGAAGGAGGGTTGTGTGTTAAGATATTGGTGGCATTCCTGACTAGAATCATAGATTGAGCTTTAGATTTCTTCCCAATGGTCCTAAAAATAAAAGCACAATGCATAAAAGATAGATCATGCTTTGATCTTTCTGGCCAATGTAGAAACACAAGTTTTGAGAACGAGATGTATTTTACATACAGGAAAATGCAGAGATCTTAAAGCGTATATCAATGAGTTTGGACAAATGGTT